GGCCTAAACATTTTGAAATCAGCAGATAAAGGAAAAAAAAAAATCAGGATGGTCAAAAGAGCCAAGTCAACAGTCTCTGGGGGTTCAAGTGTTTAGGTACTTTCTCAAGGATTTGGACTGGCCCTAAGTCAGGCGGATGTGCTAGCCCATCTCTAAAATTCCTTTTGCATTTTGAAATTCAACATGGTGCATTATGATGCAGGGTCATAATCAGACTGAACTCAAAAAACAAGCATGAGACTCAAAGAAACCTCCCATGTTGACCTATGACAAAGGGCCAATTTCTTCATGTACTTTGAATTTATGACCTCTGGATCATGTGGATCCAGACGGTGTCTAACCTCCCAGGAGGGGACTTCAGTAAAATGAGATTACAGATTATTTTTTCTCTTATGGTAAACATGGACAGAGCAGTCTTCAGCCAAAGCTGCAGTGTGAGGAATTTTTCACTGGATGCCAATGTGACTGAGATTTGTGTTCCCTGGCTAATGTCAGGGAGCTTTTGGTACTGTAGGCAGTGAACTCATTTGACCTGATGCCTCAGCATATTAAAGCAGGTGGTGAACCCCAGAAAAAAGAAAGAAAACATACAGCCATCTGTTTATCGTGCTCTTTGGCTAAAGATATTCAGAACCCTCAGGCTTTTTATCAATAACAAAGAAGTTAATAAAGGAATCTACGAAACTCTCCAGGATCTTTCAATGTTTTTAAGTTGTACATTATATAGAGTTGTAAGAACGCACCAAATTAAAACCAACTGCAAACTTATCCTAAAATGCTTAGCCATTTTCTGGAATTTCTCATCTGTTTCTCTCTATTACTGCTGTCTGTTCACTGAACTATTATGAGCTTGTTAGGATATCAGGTTGGTTAATAAAAGCAGACAAGGGGGAAGTTCAAATCATTTTATTGTCTTTAATGCTGGCTCCAATAAAAAGTGATTGGGTAGAATGGGAGAGAAGTATGTGTGTAGGGATAAAGACGGTAAGCTAAAATTTATAAACAACATTTCTGAACTGTGACTTAGAACATCTTCCATATTAGCATGAGTGACTGACTCTTAGCTATACACGATTATATTTTAATTATGATTTAAAAAAAAACTCTGGGTTTGTTTTTCAATTAAATTCAATGTAACTTTTCCTCTTGACCTTATAAATATGAAACTACCTGTAGATAACAGTAAGAAAAATTAGTAGATAATTTCTAACTTTCATGGTTAAGTAATTTATAAAATACCTAATCATGGGTATTTGTCTGCTACTCTGTCATCTGCACATCTATGTAACAACTGTCAGTTATTTGTACCTCTACCTCCCATTCTTTCATCCTTCCATCCATCCATCCTCTGCTTAGTTGTACTTTACAGTGGTTAAAAGCTTAAGATCTGAAATAAGTAAATTTGAATTGAACTTCCACTCCTGTCACTTATGAAAGTGTGACCTTAAGAAAGTAACTCACTCTTTCTGAGACCTGATTTCCTCCTCTATGAAAAGAAGATAGTAAGAAATATACACCATTGTTGCTGGTGGAGTGGTTTAAGGGGTAGTGTACCTGCCTAGCAAGTATGAGGCTCTGAGATCAAACCCCAGTACTGTCCCCCCCAAAAATAAACACACCAAATCATTGTTGGGGGCTGTGAGATTAGATGAAATAATGCACGTAAATAGCTAAACATAGAGTATAACATAGTACGTATTCTGTAAATAGCAACTATTATGCTATTACCATTTTTGATAACAGAGCTTTTTTAGATCTCAGATCTAAACAGCAAGAACAAAGACTTGAAGGCTTCTGCTCTGAAACTTCATTGTTCATCTGTAATGGCTACAGGGAGCTACTGCTTATGAAGCGACCACTGAAATAGTGGAAACTATCCATGTGTTATTTCAGGGAACAATCATTTGTGAAGCTCAAACATGAACAGTCACTCATGGAGTGAGTGGGGCACAGAGGATAGAGGGGAGGGGTGTGTTAATAACTGTCAAGCATAACAGAGACATCTGCAAAGTGTGAAGACAGGTGACATAGTGACTCGCTGTCTGGCCAAGCGGTGAGGGTTGACTCCTGAGTTGGATCTGGAAGGATGAACAGAAACTCACTGGAAATAAAGAAAAGAAACCTGCATGGTCTCTGCCCGGTATTCCCTGCATGTGGCTTCCAATGAATCTCACAACAAGCAGGGTACTAAGGAGAAGTGTGGTTAATCTGCAGCCTTCACGCACAAGAGCATGGCAGACCCTGTCACTGTTACAATCTACGCATCGCTAAATCTGAACTCAAGAACTGTCACTACAGACAGCACTCAGAGAAGGTGACTCTATGTTCAGATAGATTTCTATAGGGTGGTGATATTGTGTAAGAAAATGGGCATGGTAGCACATGCTTGTAATTCTGGCTACTCAGGAGGTAAAGGTAAGAGGATCACATTCAAGGCTGGCCTGGGCAAAATTGTGATACCCTATCTAAAAAACAAACTGAAAGCAAAAGGACTGGAGGTGTGGCTCAGGGATGGAACACTTGCCTAGCAAGCACAAGGCCTAATTTAAATTCCCAGGATTCCCTCCCACCCCACCAAAAAAAAAAAAAAAAAAAAAAAAAAAAAGGTCCAGGGCAAGGAGGGGGAAACAACTAGGTCCAGAATATCAATGAAGTATGTTTTATTTTACTTATAAAGACAGAAATAATGACATGGAAAACTTCAATGAAGGAAAGAATGCAAGATAAAATGCTCAAGACCCACCAAGGGAACATATACAAATAATGTCAGGAAGGAAAAGGGGTGACAGCAACTTCAACTACAGAGAAAGGAACTATTCTGAGTACTTCTGGGGAGATGAGCTCAGTGTGGGGAATTGAGAATGGTTGCTCTATGGGACTCATATCCTGGTCAGTGTTGTCTCTACAAGTAACAGCAGCCACTTGTGACCATACTGGAGGAACATGGATGGAGCCCAGCAGCAAATGAACAAATCCAAGGTACAAGAGATCCCATCTCTGTTACCTGCTAAAGAAAAGGTGAAGTCCCTTGAACTAAGACCAGGACTAATAAGATGACTCTAATTCTCAGCCTCCTGGCATGCTGGGACTAAGGCAGGTCAGCCAGGCTGATTAGGCTCTGGTCTATCAAGGTGTGATGTACATACTTGTAATTCCAACTACTTGGGTGGCAGAGGCAGGAGGATTGTTTAAACCAGAGGCCAGACCAGACAAAGCTATTGAAACCCTATCTCAAAAACAAAAATAAAAACAAAAGGGCTGCAGGCATAGCTCAAGTGGTGGAGTATTTGCCTAGCAAGTGCAAGGCTCTAGGTTCAATCCCCAGTACAGGAAAGGAAGGGGGGAAAGGGGCAACAGGGAAGGAGAAAGGGGGAAGGGAGAAGGGGAAGAAAAAGGAAGAAAGGAAAAATGAAAACCCCACATACCCCTGGAAGAGATCAGAAACACTGGGCTAGTTTACTAAGGTTTCTATACACCAAAGCTTAAACAAGTAGGAGAAATCAATTTGTTCTGCTCTCCTTGTAATAAAGAGGCATGTGGTGGTACAAGCCTACAATCCTAGCTACTCAGGGGGTGGAGGCAGAGGCAAGTTCGAGGCCAGCCCAGCTAAAGTTCCCAAAAATCCTATCTCAAAACAATCTGCAGTACTGGGAAAGAGGGGGAGAGGAAGGACTTTTAGAGAACATGGAAGGAAAACACACCAACCAATCTCCCTAGGTTTCATTTAGCTAAGGTGACCAAAAGTTCTGCCTGCCCCAGAGATTCCAGTTTATGCTTGCTGTTTCAATATAATAGAAATCCTTTCCATCTTAAGTGCCCTGGTTTGAATAACAAACTATTTAGTCACCATCTTATTTAGTGCACCCCACAAATCACTGATTTTAAACAAAAGATTACAACATACAGCTCTCCATTAGAAAATGTATTTCAAGGTAACCAAGTAACACCAGTTGAGGAGAAAAACCTACCTCACAGAAGAATGCCAATGTAGACCAAGTGACACAAGTACAAACTCATTCTTTTACAAATGCTATTGAATTTGTTAAATAAGCAAGGAATATCAATTGAAATTAAAAGCACTATAATTGAAGAGTTGGTGGCAAACTGAAGACTGCTCAGTGACAAAGTAACACCACGAGACAAAAAAAAGTAACTCTGCCATCAATGGAGGGAGTCACCACCCTAACACTGTGGTGAATCTGGAGTTTACAGAGTATGAGGAAGCCAGTGTACCACATTACTTATAATGCATTCTAGTCACAGAGTTTATCTCGAATCTAATCGAGTCTTTAATGCAACTTCCAGTTTAGAGTAAATCCATAGGAAAGAGAAGCAAGTTAAATTGCACTATGAAGCAATCAGGCAAATCCAGGCCAATCTCTTCAGCACACCAGTGAAATGCAAAATAGGTCTCTTCTGTGCAGTCCTAATAGACACTTTGGAAGAATCTGGGAAATGTGAATATGAACTGGGTATAGAATATTAAGAACTGATTAAGTTCAGGTGAAATACTGCATTATATTATTTACTATGTTGTATGTACTATCTCCTTTTTATAAAGAGATGCACACCAAAATGTCTGAGGGCATAAGGATACATGCTAACTCACTTTATTACTTCAGCATAAAAATATGGCTATAAAAGAATTAGTTATACGTATGTATACTAGGTGTACATACCCACATACATGTAATTTAGGAAATGAACTTTTCCCCTCCTCAGTAGGGGAAAGTAGGCTATTCAAAGAACAATCAGTTGAGGAGGTTTAGGTCAGCCTATTAAAGAACAATCAACCAGGATGGGCCAGTCA